CCATTATTAAACTAGGGAGAGAAATAGAAAAATAGATTGAATAGTGACTATTTCTCAGGTTAGTAGTGAAAAAAAAAATTATACAAAAATTCATGTAAGTAAACTTACATACATAAGTAAATATGAAACAAACATTATAAATACCAAACAATAATTATCTTAAAAGAATTATTGAAAGTCAAACCTTAAAAACAAGTAATAGTGAATTAGGATAAAATTTCCGTCAGTACTTACATTGAGACTTATGTACATACATATTGTACTTATGGAACAACAATACGCAATAATATGAAAAAAATCCTCAAGACAAGTACTTATTCATCAATTTAAGGAGTCTGAGACTGAATAGTAGGCTTGCCCAACCAATAAATTCTTCAATCCAATTCTGAAACGCTTCCTTTTATTTTTAATTTTATTTATTTATTTATTTATTCAAATCATGCCTATTTTGAAAATTTCTCATATTTAAAGGCAGATTACGTATATAAAGTTAGCAGTGCAAAGTCAGCAGTGCAAAATTTTTATGACTGGAAAAATTAGTGCTATTTAAGTGCTAATTAAATGCCAAGTTCACAAATTTTGTGCTCTTGTAGTTTCCGAAATATGGACTGCACTGCTAGCTACCCGTTAAAGATAGCAGTGCACCATCCAGGAATAATCCAGGAAAGTGGTAGGGTGATATAAATGATGAAGAAAATTAAATGCTAATTAAATGCTTCCATTTCCATAAACATAATCTCTATTTTCAGCTTTTTTTCGAATATTTTCTAAAAGCAACGCTGTGCACTGCTAGCTTTATGCAGTACCTACACATATTGAGTTTTCATGGAAGAAGGGATTGGTAGAGTTTTCGACATTTGAATAATTTAGTGCTAATTAAATGCCAAGTTCACAAATTTTGTGCTCTTGTAGTTTCCGAGATATCGCCTGCACTGCTAGCTACCTGTTAAAGATAGCAGTGCACCATCCAGGAATAATCCAGGAAAGTGGTAGGGTGATATAAATGATGAAGAAAATTGAATGCTAATTAAATGCTACCATTTCCATGAACAAAATTTCTATTTTCAGCTTTTTTTTCGCATTTTTTTTTAAAAACAACGTAGTGCACTGCTAGCTTTATGCAGTACACATATTGAGTTTTCATGAAAGAAGGGATTGGAAAAGTTTTCGACATAGGAATAATTTAGTGCTAATTAAGTGCTAATTAAATGCCAAGTTACCAAATTTTGTGCTCTTGTAGTTACCGAGATATAGCCTGCACTGCTATACCTGTTAAAGATAGTAGTGCAGCATCCAGGAATGATCGAGGAAAGTGGTAGCGTGATATAAATTATAAAAAAAATTCAATGCTATTTAAATGCTACCATTTCCATGAACAAAATTTCTATTTTCAGCTTTTTTTCGCATATTTTTTTAAAAACAACGCGGTGCACTGCTAGCTTTATGCAGTACACATATTGAGTTCTCATGAAAGAAGGGATTGGAAGAGTTTTCGACATAGGAATAATTTAGTGCTAATTAAGTGCTAACTAAATGCCAAGTTACCAAATGTTGTGCTCTTGTAGTTTCCGAGATATCGCCTACACTGCTATACCCGTTAAAGATAGCAGTGCACCACGTTGTTTTTAGAAAAATATGCGAAAAAATCTAAAAATAGAAATTTTTTTCATGGAAATGGTAGCATTTAATTCTCTTCATCATTTATATCACCCTACCACTTTCCTGGATCATTCCTGGATGGTGCGCTGCTATCTTAAACGGGTAGCTAGCAGTGTAGGCCATATCTCGGAAACTACAAGAGCACAAAATTTGTGAACTTGGCATTTAGTTAGCACTTAATTAGCACTAAATTATTCCTATGTCGAAAACTCTACCAATCCCTTCTTTCATGAAAACTCAATATGTGTACTGCATAAATCTAGCATTTCACAGAGTTGTTTTTAAAAAATATTCAAAAAAAAGCTGAAAATAGAGATTTTGTTCATGGAAATGGTAGCATTTAATTAGCATCTAATTTTCTTCATAATTTATATCACCCTAGCACTTTTCTTGATCATTCCTGGATGGTGCACTGCTATCTTTAAGGGGTAGCTAGCAGTGCAGGCCATATCTCGGAAGCTATAAGAGCACAAAATTTGGTAACTTGGAATTTAATAAGCACTTAATTAGCACTAAATTATTCTAAAGTGGAAAACTCCACCAACCCTTTCTTTCATGAAAACTCAATATATGTACTGCATAAAGCTAGCAGTGCACCGCGTTGTTTTAAAAAAATGTGCGAAAAAAAGCTGAAAATAGAGATTTTGTTAATGGAAATGGTATCGGGTCTTCAAAAAAAAAACCAATCAAAGATTGCTATGGTTTTTTAAACGTACGTCTTAGCAATATTTTTCTTTAATTTTGACAATGTCAGTCAATGAAATTTAATGTCAAAATGTCATGTCAAAAATCCTGACCAATAAAGAAACAATAATGCGACATACGTTTTCGTAACCAAAGCAATCTTTGATTGGTTTTTTTTTTGAAGACCCAATAGCATTCAAATAGCATTTAATTTTTTTTTCATAATTTATATCACGCTACCACTTTCCTGGAACATTCCTGGATGGTGCACTGCTATCTTTAACGGGTATAGCAGTGCAGGCTATTTCTCGGAAACTACAAGAGCGCAAAATTTGGTAACTTGGCATTTAATTAGCACTTAATTAGCACTAAATTATTCCTATGTCGAAAACTCTCCCAATCCCTTCTTTCATGAGAACTCAATATGTGTACTGCATAAGGCTAGCAGTGCGCCGCGTTGTTTTTAAAAAAATATGCGAAAAAAAGCTGAAAATAGAAATTTTGTTCATGGAAATGGTAGCATTTAAATAGCATTTAATTTTTTTCATAATTTATATCACGCTACCACTTTCCTGGATCATTCCTGGATGCTGCACTGCTATCTTTAACAGTTATAGCAGTGCAGGCTATTTCTCGGAAACTACAAGAGCGCAAAATTTGGTAACTTGGCATTTATTTAGCACTTAATTAGCACTAAATTATTCCTATGTCGAAACCTCTTCCAATCCCTTCTTTCATGAAAACTCAATATGTGTACTGCATAAAGCTAGCAGTGCACCACGTTGTTTTTAAGAAAATATGCGAAAAAAAGCTGAAAATAGAAATTTTGTTCATGATTATGGTAGCATTTAATTAGCATTCAATTTTCTTCATCATTTATATCACCCTACCACTTTCCTGGATTATTCCTGGATGATGCACTGCTATCTTTCACGGGTAGCTAGCAGTGCAGGCGATATCTCGGAAACTACAAGAGCACAAAATTTGTGAACTTGGCATTTAATTAGCTCTTAATTAGCACTAAATTATTCCTATGTCGAAAACTCTACCAATCCCTCCTTTCATGAAAACTCAATATGTGTACTGCATAAAGCTAGCAGTGCACAGCGTTGCTTTTATAAAATATTCGAAAAAAAGCTGAAAATAGAGATTTTGTTCATGGAAATGATAGCATTTAATTTTCTTCATCATTTATATCACCCTACCACTTTCCTGGATTATTCCTTGATGGTGCACTGCTATCTTTAACAGGTAGCTAGCAGTGCAGGCCATATCTCGGAAACTACAAGAGCACAAAATTTGTGAACTTGGCATTTAATTAGCACTTAATTAGCACTAATTTTTCCAGTCATAAAAATTTTGCACTGATGACTTTGCACTGCTAACTTTATATACGTAGGCAGATTGGTTAAAAGGATTTCAATGTTATAAATTAAGGATTTTTTCAGTTAGGGTCCAAGCAGGAATAAGAAGTGAAGCCACATGAAATGAATGAGTGACTGAAACCTCAGCAGTTGCAATTTCATTTATACATTTATTATTTATTGGGTATCAGATAAGAGCAACAAATAAACATGCCAAAGTTAAAATCCTCTGTGAAAAAAACAAAGTTCTACATGGTTGCCTCGGATCACTTTGCCCTATTACCTTATTGCGGGCTTTTGTAAAGAACAAAAGGCATATTAAAAAGTTGATTTGAACAGGATCCCTAGAAACACTTCGTAACGTAGATGAGATTCAATTAACGCGAAATACACATTCCTTACAGTAGACAAATCCAACTCTCAGAATAAAGCAACCTAGAAAGTCATTATGTATTTAAAATGATAAACACAAAAGTGTACAACTGAGGCAATTTGGAAATATTACACTTACACACAACATTGAATTCTAGATAGCAGCAAATTTTACTTTTGATAAAAACGATGGAAACTCTAAGGGAAAACTGCTTCTAATTCATTGCCTACCAATAATGTGTGGTGCGGTGTAATAATGCCACCTTCTAAGCTCCAAATAAGGCAAAAAAACTTGGAATTTTTGGTATGTTTTTTTTTTAACCAAATTTCACAACTTCTTACTGCCTTCCAAATTATCGAGCAAATTATATCTCCAAATAGTGTTTTTGAGAAATATTAAACATAATTAAGGTATACGAATGCTCTAACAGAGAAAAACCAATGCAGTAAATTTCAGTACTATTAATATGTATTTTGTTCTGAAATCCGAGTTTCACAATAAACATTTCTACAGTATTTTTTATAGAGGAATACTTTGAATATTTTCGAAAAACCATCCTTTGACATGAAGATCTAAAATTGATCACCTGAGACCTTTAAGACAAATTAAGCTGTAAAATAATAACTACAATGTTTGGTATCGCTTCTTTTGTAATGAGTCAACTTTTATATGTAAGAAAAGCGAATGTCATTTTTTTTTCTATACTGTTGCGTTGCGTATTGTACGAGATTTTATACTTTTGTCTGTGTTTCATGCTTTGGTAAAGACTTGTTCTGTTTTTGTTCTTTTATTCTCTGTTTCAACTGAGTAATGTTTTAATTTTTAATCTTAGTGTTAGTTTTAGACTTTATTTTAGTACGGCTTTGTCAGCAACATTTTGTTTTAAGACAATAAAGCTATTTTTGACTTTGACAACTTACCTAAAGCATCAACTACACGTCCCAACAAAGCATCGCCTACAGGAACATCAACAATAGCTCCTGTTCTTTTGACAATGTCACCTTCCTTGATAAGTTTGTCGTTACCAAAAACTACCACTCCAACGTTGTCAGGTTCCAAATTCAAGGCCATACCCTTCAATCCTGAAGAGAATTCCACCATTTCATCGGCTTGGATATTGTTCAAGCCATAGACACGAGCAATACCGTCACCAATGCTTAACACACGACCAGTTTCGTCCAAGTCAGCCTTAGGCGCAGCACCCAGGATCCTTTCTTCCAAGACTGAGGAAATTTCTACCCCATTGTTGACTGGAGAGGAGTGGATTTTACGGAGTGTGGCTGAGGCTGCTGGAAATGCTACACCGGAAACCTAAAAGAGAATTTTTGGGTTTTTGAGCAGGTGAAGTTTGTAAAAAGTCAAAATTAACCCAACTACAATATTTTCAAGTGTTACAATTATTGTGAAGCTGCTTTTAAAAAATTAATCCAATATTTTCTTATTGGAAATAAATTGGAGCAAAGCTGTTTTGTACCCAACTAGAAGTATTTATTTTAAAATATATAATTCAATTTAACAGAAAAAATATGCTCTTAAGGCTGTGGTCCGAATATAATCAGGATTGTGGTTTCGCGTTCCGGAAGTAATTAAATAACTCTGGGTCCTGGAAAAGTGGTTACTTTTGGACCTTGGTTTCCTGAAATCTGCTTCAACCAAATGTCAAAATAGTTACCGGCTATCAAATGTCGGTTCTGTTGGTTTTATCTGTGAATTCTGTCAATTATTTTTTATTTCATATTTGTGTTCCCCAAGTAACTGGAGTTTTCAGTATCTGTCAACTGATTCGGTTACTTTGGTTATATTCGAACCATAGCCTAAAACAGTTAATTTGATAAAATGTTAGAAATAAATATTAGATTTGGCAACTCCATGGGCTCGTGCTGATATAATCCAGGTGCGCCAATAAAATATTATTATAGTGGCAGTAATTCTTGGTTCTTTATTTTAAAGTTATTCAATGGCTAGATCACATTTCAAAATTCTTGAATTAGAAAAAAGGCGAACTATATCAGATATCATGACAATATTTAAAATAATTAATAACTTATCTGACTCCCCGAGTATTCTCTCTAAAATTAAATTCAATGTACCTGCTCGAACACTTCGAAATCATGATCTGTTTTGCATTCCTTATTGTAGAACTAACTATTACCAAAACGCACCTTTAGTCAGGATGCTTAAGGCTGTTAATTTACATTGTACTACTTCTAATTTGGACTTATTTGCTACAAAATTGTTAACTTTTAAAAAAAACCTAAAACTTAAGTTTCTAGAATGAACTCTAGTGTGATATTTTATTTGTGATTTATTGAATAATTAAATCTTACCTAAGTTTTTAGATTAGAACAACGAAGACCTCTACATATACCAATGTGATATATAACTTGTGATTACTTATATAAAATTTTTATATATTATATATATATATTTTTTTTTTAAGCAAAGTATAGATATTACTTTGGTAATATCGGGATACTATTTTTGGAATTATGTTCTGTTTGTATCCCAAGGACTGTAATAAATAAATAAATAAATAAATAAAAGTTGTTTTGATAAGTAATCCTAGAGTAGAAATCAAACGAGAAGAAGCCACACGCGTTATCGTTTGTCTCACTTTAAATGGGAGGGACCCAAAGAAAAGAAAATCTGCTTTCTTTGTCAGCGCTGACGACAGTGGCTTCTTCTCGTTTGATTTTTACTCTATTAATGCTTGTAATGCCATGAAACCTATAGTACCAAGCAAGGAGAACGCCAAAATATTTTTTAGTGATTTCAGCTATTTCAGTTTGAGGCTGGGATTACCTAATAATCTCAAACTGGTATGTTGGTAATTGATAAAGGATGCAGTAGTATGGGACTGTAGGTCACTCGCGTTGCCGCCAATCATCCAATGCTAATATTTTTCAAGTTTGAATAGAAGGAGTAGAGTGAATCCATAGAAGGAGTAGAGTGAAACCATAGAATGAGATACAAAAATGCTCCAATGCTGCAGTGTAGATAGAGTATGGGCTCGAAAGGGTGAAAGAATTAACGGACAAACTACTCCTATATCAATGGTGAGGCTTATGTAATGCAATTTTGAACTTAAATTATGCAAAAACAGCTGAACCAAATATCAACATCTATGAGCCGCTTTCGGGTGCAGAGTGCAAGCTCCTAGAACACTTCTCACTCGATATACTTCATGCGTTTTGCACCTGAGCGCTTGAAACTGTATTGCCCGGAGCGTGACGCAACTATGAAAAGGTAGGCGCTTCAGGGGTAAGATGGAAGGAAATGGGAGCAGCTCGAGAGCGCCAAACTCTGTTCACCCAAACGAGTCAACCTCTAGCTGGAGTACTTTGGAGTAACTCGGGAGTGCTCAAACGGTAGCACCTGAAAGCGGCTCTGATATAATATTTGGAATCAGAAGCAAAAAATCAATCATTCTAGCCAAAAATAGGAATGGTGTTGACTGGCAAACATCAGTTTATCTTATATTTTTCAAGAGAGTCCATCTTTCAACGCTTATATCTCACAAATCATAATACACACATCAAAATAGTCTAGGGAACAAGATGCAACTGAATACATTTATAAATTGAACAAAATATACTTTTAGAAGATTTTTAAATTTTGTTAAAGCCTGCTGGAAAAGCCGATATGATAAATTTTACAAGATTTGTGCAACAAATACAAATACCCATATGGTATCTTTTTAAAAAAAGTTATTCTGTCTAAAAATTAAAAGACGAATATTTCTTGTTCCCTAGACTTTTTTGATGAGTGTACGTACAAGATTTTGTCCCATTTGAGATTGTTCAGTATTCCATGCCATATCAAAAAATAGGCAAAATCCATAGAGCCCAAAAATTCCATGTTAGCCATGTGTTATCCTTTCATTTCTTGCAAATTTCAACAAACACAATAAGAAACAACAAAAACAATTATTAAAGGCCATAACCGTTATTATAATCCGAGCTACTCGCCGAGCTATAACCAAAGAAAATGTGAATATAGTAGTGCCAACTGCCAGAAGTCCAATGTGTGAGAACGAAAAATAAAGTAAATATTCCTAGAATGATTGTGTAGTTCATATCTATATGAAAGGGTTGAAAAACGCCGATTTTCCCACAACGCATTGGCATCTATATGAACTATGCTTATGGGTTTAGGGCAAGTCCTGAATTTTACTATTTTCACATAAAAAAAAAAATTGTAATCGTTAGATGGTTATTATGCTTCAGAGGCATGAAAAGAGCTTACAGTTTTGAAATATCTTCAATTCAAAAAATTATTAGTATGTGACTACTTAGTATGAACTTTTGACATAACACCCTGATTACATAATACATGAAGAAATGAGTTTTGTCTATAAAATCGAATTTAACCCTGGAGAAGCCTAAAAGTTAGTCTAATAAAACAGTAGTTGATGTAAATCGACCAAATTATTCAGGATTTACAACTAAAACAGGGGTCTAATAAGTGGACTGATTATGTCATCATGGATCAGGCCGAGAAGACTCCCGAAAAACTGCACTAATACAATTACTAGAACAAAAACCTACACAAATATTTAAATCACGTACCTGGGGGACATTTTTAGGTAAATTGCGGGCCACTGAGGCAGCTAAACGCACAGAAAGTAGCGACATTTTATCGGTCCCAGTCAGCACACACACAGCACAGAAAGGATAATGGCCGATCGCGATTTCTCAGCACCTCCTAGAATGCCTTGCGCACCCGCAAACGTTTTGGCGCCATCTATCAGCAATCACATTCGTTGTATTTCTTTCAAGGGTTTTAAGCTAGAGCTACTCGCTCCGGTGTTAGTCGACCCCGATTTGAAAGGAACAGATGAGCTGGCTTTCACGCATTTAAATGGCTTGAGTCGGGCTTGAGCACTCAGGTGCAATAAACACTTTTCGAAAGAAATAAGTGCGTAACGCCCCGGAGCTGTTCCGGAGCTCCTCCTTATACGATTCCTGGGGTGCGTTCAAAGATGGCGATGCTAATGCCAAAACCTACTTTTACCCCTCCGCCGGTAATGCCGAACCACGTAGGTTGGAGCCAAACTCGAACGCAAAATGCCAATTTTGGCTTGGCTGTAGCCATTCCTGAACGCAGCCGATTGCCTGTTTAGCTTTGTTTAGGTTTAAAAAAAAATGCGGTTCTAGAACGGTTCAAAACCATCGGACAGTTTATTTATCAAAAAAATTACAACAGCTCGGCTATCAAAAATTCCAATAATAAACTGTGCGATTCTTGTGGACCGTCCTTTTTTGAAACCAAAACAAAGCTTTCATGAGTTTGGTGCTGCGTTGCTGCGTTCACTGAAACGTCGGACAAGGTCACTTGCAGGATAAATGACGTCATGGACGAGTCGTCGGGCCATCGGTAAACTCACTGGGACGCTTGTTGCTTGCTTGTTGTTTGTTGACATAATCCCACTATTATACTGTCCACGAAAAGTGAAAAGTGCAAAAGGTATTTGAATTTTGAATCGCCCCTTGTTTTACAAACCAATTTTAAGCGTTGGACCGATCGGTCATCTTGACAGATAAACCAATAACCCTTTTCACGTGGCTCCGGTTTAACAAACCGCAACATACCGCTCAAATTCGAGTGGTAGGTATCCATCACGTTACTTTGTAACCGGGCCGGGGATTCTAAAATCACGATTCGACATACGACTCGACAACGAGACGATTTTTCCGACGATTCTAGGTTAGAAATCTCATTGGAATTGTACCTTTCGAGACGACAAGGCCGGTATCGTTATCGAGTCGTATGTCGAATCGTGATTTTAGAATCTCGGCCCGGGTTAGAAAACGGTATGTCAGTTCTCTAACCGTTTTGTAACCCGGTTAGTTAAACCGGAGCCACGTGAAAAGAGTTATTAGTTGTATTCCTTTCACACCTAGGAGGAGCTCCGGAACAGCTCCGGGGCGTTACGCGCTCCTCCTTTCGAAAAGTGTTTGTTGCACTGAAACGCTCAACCGAACTCAAACCATTTACCGTGCGTTCGGTAATTTGATCTGAGTTCTCCGAGCTTGAATTTACCGTTCGTTTATTTGAAAAGTGTACTCGGTGCAAGCTCATTCGCGTTCGTTTATTGAAATTTTGGGCTCTCCGATACAGCGTTCAATTGCTCTGTTCGCTCGTTGGTCATGTGATTACTGCTCTACTCGGCACGCTCTGCTCTTTGAGCAAAATACCGAACGCAAGGTTAATGCACGAAAGCCAGCGCATCTGTTCCTTTCAAATCGGGGTCGACTAACACCGGAACGAGTAGCTCTCAGGTGTTTTTCGCGTCTCAAAGTTTTGAAATATTTTTCAAAACTGGTTCAAAACAGTTTCACACTGACGTCATAACTTCTCGCGAGAATAGGTTTAAAAACGTGGATTGAATTGTATTTCGAAACGGTTTCAACCAATTTTGTGTGACGTCTTGAGTTCATCGCGAGAATATAAACAAGAATTTGGTATCGTCAGGATTATCCACATCACATCCTCTAAACTTACTATAGGTTTTCCTATTATAAAACCATAAGATGATTAAAGACATGATGCAAAATAGCAATCATTTATTTTTACATGTGATAAAATGCTTACCTACTATAAACTCTTTAGTCCTTTTCACGTGACTCCGGTTTAATAAACCGCAACATACCGCTCAAATTCGAGTGGTATCGATGACGTCACTTTGTAACCGGGTTAGGAAACGGTCTGTCATTTCTCTAACTACCTCGGCGATATGGTTACGTTTAACGGTTAGATATGGTTAGACCAAAAAAAAATAGAAAATCTGTAAAAAACAGAGAGCGAGAAAATTGTGACATGTGTAAACTTAAAAAGTTGTGTGTGTTTGGTTAATTTTAAAGTTTTCACCAACCTAATCAATTGACGAACAAGGAAGAGCATTGAAGTTAAAATAAGTAATAGGGACTTTTTTTTCAAGATACACGTGAAATTTTGGGGCAGTCACTAGAGGGTACATCAACCTATTATAAATATTGACAGGTCGTTGTATTGACTAATTTAAAATAACATTTTTCTAACCGTTCGTTTTCAAATGGCAGTTTCAATAACGTCATCACTTGATATACCGCTACTAACCGTTTTGTAGCCCGGTTAGTTTAAACCGGAGCCACGTGAAAGATTGATTGATTGATTGATTTGCTACTAATTATTTAGATTGGGAAATATCGTTCCGTTTGATTGCCGCTAACCATGCTATTCGCCTTATTTTTCCTGATAGTTCATTTAAATGGGAAAAATATAATAATAATAATAATAATATTTATTATCTCCAGAAAAATTACATTCCAAACAGTTAACTAAGATAAATGTGGGAAATAATAGGCCATACGTGCAGCTTCCCACGCAAGCATGAGTGCTGTTGAGGCCCCAAAAAATTGCTTAAAATAAAATATAAAGAAAGGCTTATCTAAGATCTATGAATATGAAAATCAAGTAACGCACTTGATACTTAAGGTGGAAAAATAGAGAAAAGAAGGAAAGACCGACGCCTCCACCGCGCCCTAAACGATCGCGTCTTACAAAATTATAGTTTTCAACAGAAACATCCTGATCAGCTATATTAGGATTCAACCAACTTTCAGAGATTCCAATTAAACTCTGTATTTATTAGTAGTGATATGATCTTTAAATAGATCAAAGTTGTTGAGTAATGATCTAACATTAAGATGTGCAAAGCTTAACATTTATACCTTAGAGATGAAGACGAAGAAGAGTGAGGACTGAAAAAGTAGTAAGAAAGGAGGGGTGAGCTTTAAGCAGGAGAAAAAAAGAAAGGAAAAAAAAAGTTTTCTTCGATTTCAGAGAAAAAAAAAATAAAAATAGAGAGAACAAGTATTGTCACTTCGATATAGTGACTGGTCACGCGTGGTGGGACATTGTAGGAAGACAATGTCCCTTTCTCGGCAGCTTCCACATCCCATCAGACACTTATATCCGGCATTTTTCAACACTAACACTAATCACAAAAATATATCTAGTTTCTGCCCGATTTAAGCCTAGTACTCATAACTGCGAAATTCGCACTTTTTTGACATTGCTTTGACAATTTGACGTTTTAAGCCTAGTACTCATAACTGCGAAATTCGCATTTTTTTGACATTGCGTTGACAATTTGACGTTTTATGCGTGTATCAAACGTCAATTTGTCGAAGCAATGTCAAAAAAATGCGAATTTCGCAGTTATGAGTACTAGGCTTTATGCGTGAATCAAACGTCAAATTGTCGTTATGAATGAGTACTAGGCTTTATGAGGTTACTTAGGTACCCAGTCAAAAAATATTTTCTTAGATAATTAAAATCAAACTTGCAAGCAAAACTCCGAGCAAAATAACTAAAATACGCATAAAAACACATAAGTATTCAAAACAAACTTTCTTGGCCGCCACGCCATTTTGATTTTTCTTTTTGACAGATAGATTGGATCAAGGTTATTTGAGAAAGGTAGGTTGCCTGATAACTGTATGACGTCATTTGGGGTACCTCAACATATTGCAAATCTCCATAGGGCACCACAGATGCGACATCAAGTTACCCGTTAGGACAACCTAATAACTTTAGGATCCTTGGATTGGATTGCCTAATGGAAAACAGATTACGTCATCTGAGTCGCTTTCCGGTGACGCACTTTAGGTACTCTTGAGCTGCTCTAGAGCGCCCCGGGCTGTTCATAGGCAATCCAGTGCATTACAGTTTCGCGCAACTGAACTGTTCGCTCTACCCTGCCATCTCAAGCACCTGCAATTTTACGGGTGCATCGTGCATCAAAAGACCACGCCTAAAGTAGGGTGCATTCCAGTGAAACAACAGTCATTTGGAGCACCAGAGTGTGAAGCTACGGAGTGGAGCACTTTAAAATTCGTCAATGGAAAGCGGCTAAGGACATGGTAACAATGGATATTTAGTATTTACATTATGTTTCGACACCCCAGGGTCCTTATTCTTGGAACAGAGGACCAGCGTTCCCAGGAGAACGAGTGTTCCGTCTTTGTTACTTACCTACATAATCATTTACATATCATTGAGAAAGACGGAACGCTTGTACTAAACAACCTTGCCCAAGTCCTATAATCGCGATTAGATGATATTGTATATCCAATAATGGATCCAAGTTTCATAACGCTAATTCAACATTCGCACAACGCACAACAAAAACGATATTTATTTTTGTAGGAATAAGCGCGTGAAGCCCCGGAGCTGTTCCGGATCTCCTCCTAGGTGTGAAAGGAATACAACTATTTACACTGTTTCTCCCAGGGGAACGCTGCTTCCCAGTTTCAAGAATAAGGACCCTGGGCTGTTCCGGAGCTCCTCCTAGGTGTGAAAGGAATACCGCTAATACGAAATTGTTCTGATTGGTTGAATTTACGGCTTTTTCACAAAATTCAGACATTTTTATGGATCCGATTATAGCCGCTTTCCAGCTGACGCTTTTGAGCACGCAATCGAGCTTTTGCGCGCGCAAATGCTTCAAGCGCGTGTACGTGTTCCAGCCGTACTGCGCTTCGAAAGCGACGAACTTTTGCGTTTCAAACACAGAACACTGTGCTGCACCGTGCTCGAAGCACACAGCTGGAAAGCGGCTGATAAGAATCGTTCACGAATAGTCAAAATTATTTGACTGGTCTGGTTATATATATAATTAAATCGGTACACCTTGTTGGCGATTTTTAGATATTCAACAAAACTTGGAAAAGTGAAGTCACGTCAACGTCAAAAATATCAAATCATACGATATCGTAAAAAAGTTAAAATTATTTTAGCTTCATCCGACGTCGGAGAAAAGTTTAAAATATTCGGATAAAAAATGGCTGGAAACTGTTTGACCAATAAGGGCCGGTTTCTCAATAGCGAGTCAGTCCTGGGTTGGTTTTAACTCCACGAAAACATGTCAAATTGCAATGTTTACCCTGGAGTTAGCTTAACCCAGAGGTGACCTGCTATTGAAAAACCTACAGTAAGAGGTTCGTCGTATCATCGTGCCATCGTACGACGGATGCATAAAAACCTACCCTTAAGCCTAGTACTCACAACCGCGAATTACGGATTTTCATTTTGCGGATTTCTTTCTATAGGTCGATTATATATTTAAATTTGACAGGTTTAAATATATTCGACCAATCGAAAAAAATCCGCAAAATAAAAATCCGCAATTCGCGGTTATGAATACTAGGCTTTAAGCCTAGTACTCATAACTGCGAAATTCGCATTTTTTTGACATTGCGTTGACAATTTGACGTTTTATGCGTGTATCAAACGTCAAATTGTCGAAGCAATGTCAAAAAAATGCGAATTTCGCAGTTATGAGTACTAGGCTATAACCGCGAATCGCGGATTTTTTTCTATTGGTCGATTATATTTAAATTTGACAGGTTTTAATATATTCGACCAATAGAAAAAAATCCGCAAAATAAAAATAATCCGGAATTCGCGGTTATGAGTACTAGGCTTAATAAGCCTTTTTGGAAACGCTGCACCGATTAGCCAGATCACCTCTTTGTTTTTTCATCTTTTTTTGATGAACACGCTTGAAGACCAAAAACTGATGGTGATCCAGGAAATAAAACAACATGAGAGATAAGATATGACCTAAAAATATGAATTTTGTGGCGTTGTGTAGAACCGTTGGCGACGTCAACACCGGAGTCGTCAGCTGCTTGTCGGGCTATCGTCCATTCGTCCGGTAAAATCTACTGACAATCTGAACGAGTGGGTAAGTTTTATCCAAAACAATCCAGAACGGCCAGAGCGCGCTCGGGTGACACCCGACATTCAATCTGAACGCGCCCCAGACCAGTGGTGGTCAATTGGCAAATGGAAAAAGGACATGTCAGCTGTCAAAACCACATATGTTTGACTTGTAAAATGAGAAATTTGAACTACCCGCTTTGAGAGGAAGAGCATTTGGTTGATGATTTGAGTTCAAATTTATATGTTTCATTTTTATGTTCCACATTCCGTGTGTGCGAGTACCAGAAACTCCTAAGTCCAACTTTGAAAACTTATTCTCCCATATGTTGCGAAGGATTGTGGTTTAGTGAGTATACTGTGTACCCTCGGGCGAGTGGAGAGATCAGTCTCACACACTCCTCTGCACCACTTCTTTTTATTGGAATAACTACAAAATGTGTGCCTACTCTACCTTCCATATAATATTGATAAATTATTCAATTCTCTGGGAAATTATTGTATTTAACTAAATTTTTAGCTTTCTGGTTTCTTTGTGGGATCAATCTGATTGCATACAATTGCCTATTCAAGGGAAGAAGCATGTAATAAACTAATTTGAAAAAATGTGTAAATATGCTTTCAACAATGCATTCAATCATTTGGAACCCAAACTTTGCCTGACTCTGTGGATTGCAGCAGTTTTTTATGCTACCTACCAGTTTGCATTGGCCAGCCAAAATTGTAATACAAAAAACACTATAGGTTTGTTCCAACTTGTCAAAACCATCCCATGAACGGTTTTGAATCCACTCTGTATACAAATTTCGGGTTCTACTCACAAATTTTTGGCTTTGCGCAGAATCGTGATGGTACATTGAACGGTTTTTTGATGTGTTGGAGCAAAGCTTATATAAACGATTAATACTCATCTGTTTTGTAGATTTCACAAATTACCACGATTATTATGAAGACTTCACCACAGGCTGGTCGATATTAAACTACCCGAAAAAGGATAAGGCTGATTTTGAATGGGAAACTTGTAGCTTTTATTTAAAGGAAATTTATCCAGCTGTAATTTGTTATATTCTGATATCGGAGTTCTGTAGGCAGTTGAAATATAAAAAAATAATTCAAATACTATACCCATTAGGTTATATAACATATTTTATGGGCTACAAAATTGCTTTTGCAGCATTGATACAGCCAATTCTGTTTTATTTGGTTAAAACAAAGACAAATAAACTCTATGTTTGGTTATGCAATTTCATTTGTCTGGTCTTGATAGCTTTTTATAAAAATCTTAGTTCTAATTTCTCTCCCAACACTGCTAACCAGGATGTAAATCATTTTAAAGTTTTTTTGAGTACTTTATTAATTTCTTGGATGAATTTAAAATGTACTCATTTTGCTTTAAATAATTCAATATCAAATGTTATCGACTATTTGGCTTACCTCTTTTATTTTCCAACTCTTTTTACTGGGCCATTTATCAGCTATGATGAATTCAAAAAATGCTATAACACAAGGACTTACAAACAGCTAGATGTGAGGCTAGAAAAATTAGCTGAAAATCTCATGAGATGTTTGTTTTGGTATATATTTGTTGAATTCTCGTTGCATTATTTTTATTTTAATGCAGCTATCTTCCAATTAGAGGTAAATGTCTGTATATTAGCAAACATATTTTTTTATATCAATAGATTATTTTTGTAGCTTATCAAAAAACTCAGTCTCTGCAGCCTTTGTGGCTATGGTTACTTAATGGGACAGTTTTTCCATATCAAATACATTGTTTTGTATGGTTTATCAACCAGCTTGGCATCATTTGAAAATATTCCAGTACCAAATTTGCCCAGATGCATTGGCAGAGTGCACTTGTATTCAGATATGTGGAAGTACTTTGATCCTGGCTTACACAACTTTCTAAAGAAGTAATTAACACAGATGTTAATGATGAAGCCAGTCTTTGAAAGTTTTATTTCAGGTCAATATTTATTCCGTGCCAAAAATCAGGCCTTGGTAAACTCAATTCCTCATTCCTGTGCTTTATTTTTGTATTTATTTGGCACGGCATTGAAGACTACATACTTATTTGGGCCACATTGAATTTTATTGGCATCGCCTTGGAACATTTTGCCATTAACAAATTACCGAATAGAAGACTGAAAACTTTATTTGCAGCCCCCTTATTAGCGATGTCAGCAGTGTCCAATTTTTATTTTTTTGCTGGCAAAGATATAGGGGATGTTTTCGCAAGGAAAGCTTTAACTGGTAATTCTAGCAACAACTCAAAAGTTCTCAAATAACTGAATTTGTTTTAGAACCATCTGTTAACATATTTCTGGTACTAATAGCCCTGTACTGCTGCTGTGATGTTTCAACGGAATTGAGAAATGTGAATGCTCATAAAATGTGATTTTTTTCAAATATGGTACATAATATAGTTTTCATAGTAAAACGGCTAAATTTTGTTGAAAAAAAAGTTGATTTTTCGTGTTTTTTAAAATTGTATATTATGTAATGATCATGTAATGATACACGAGCATGTTGCATGCATGTGTATTAATGGCAATTGCATGAGAGTTGTATACACTATTTTTTCTACTCCCATAACAAACAAAATACACATTTATTTTAAGAATAGTAAATTTCTCAACTGATGGTATCATCTATTGAAAATTTTGAAAATCAAGATCTAGAGTTGTTATGAAACAGATTTTAATATTTAAATCAGTTTATTAAAAAATAGGGGTAGAAAAACTATTTATTTTACTTCAGGATTTTCAAGAATTCTTGTTGGCTTTTTCTCAAAAATTCTTTTACCATTTTTTAGAGGAAATTTTCTCTGCTAAATAAATAAGCAATTCATGAATGGCTAATTCAAAATTAAGAAAGATTGATGGAAATCTAATCCAAATTTTGGATGGAACCAAAAAAGTTTCTAGATTTGCACAATTTTAAATTTCAATGAAACCGTAACGTGTTTCAGGACAAAGTGCCTTCTTCAGACAGAATTCCATTTGAAGAGTATTGGTTGTTAACAGAAACCCATAGAATCGCATGGTACAGAGCTCTTTTACAGTGAAAAGGCATACGTGCGTGGGTTTTCAGGTTTATTATTTTGGTAACAAATTATATCCTTTTTCAGATGATCCAAAGCATTTGATTCTCTGCTGTGACTTTTAACGGAGGAAGTTTCTAACTCGCAAAAATTGGAAATGGTTCATTCAAAATTTCGCACATTTAACTGAATTTGCTACTCTTTGTAATGCAAGGAACGCGTCTCTCTCTTATTGAAGATGTGTCATCACATCCCTCCAGGCTAATAAACAAACGCAAAGATTGGCTAATTTTTGTTCATAAGACATGTAAAAGTTTCCCAATCAAATATTGAAAATGTTTTCATCATTGGTAAGATGTCTTTGGTAAGATGTTGAAAATATCAGAATGATAGATCAGGATAACAATAATAATTATGAATTTAAGCTTTTGTTTTTGGACCTGTTTTTAGGGCATGAATTATATGAAGAATAACTTTTGTATCTGCCTCTTCATGATCACAACTTCCAGACATTTTTTTTTCTTGGGCTAACATGCACTCACAGTATTTTCTTGTTAGATATGAAAACTGATCAGCTTTATTTTCTGAGTTGCGGAGAAATTCGGACAATTTCTTGGGTATTTTCGTGTAGGGACGTTGCTCAGTTGCACGAGTCAACTTGACGCTCGAAACAGCCTTCTTTTTCAGATATTTTATTTTGAAAAATACAAATTAGTGTGCTGATAATGTTTTTAACTTAGATTTTTGTTCAACCTGCGTTTTTTTGGCGGTTTTTTCAAAAATTGCTATAGCGGGACCAAGAATTGCCGCTCAGCAGCCCTCCTACTTTTTCGATGATTTTATCAAACAAAATCAAAAATGAATGCAACTTCTAATGTGGGTAACACTGTTAATAGATTTAGCAATTTTTCATTTAACCTTCGTTTCTTGAAAATGACTCGTGGCGAGGCCAACTTGACGCTCAGCCTCTCCTCCCGATTTATTTCGATCTTTATAGTAGGTAAGTAGGTACCTACATCCTATCATTTTAAAAATATTGTGACAAAATTGAGATCTTACGTAAGAATTGATATTTTGGTAGCATGAATAATTCTGTCACATCTTAAAATTTCGTGGTAAATTATGCCGAAAAGTAAATTTGATCTGAAGCAGTACCTAAATAACAATTTTCTGAACCGGAGGCAATCTGAACAAATTCTTCTTCCTTCACTTCTTGGAGTAGTTTCAAGAGACTCAAAATTAGTACCACTTACCACTTTTCTGCTGAAGCTGCAAACACCCCCTTAACCGCATAAACAAAATTACCTTATTTAATTAATGGACCATAAACAAATTAAACTAAAGAAAAATGAAAGAAAAGAGTATTTTCCCAATTAAATAATTGAGTAATCACTATCTTACCGTTAACATTTCACCAAAGTAATAATAATTAACCCTTGATAATTTTATTGTTATACAATTTGTTATTGTATTTTAAAAATCTAGCTGTTTCGCTCCACACACACACATGCCTCGAACATAATTCTTTCCAGCAACGGTATCAGTTACCTGACATCTGGGTTCGTTATAAAACGTGGGTATTCAGAAGATTATCCTTGACTTTGAATAAATTATTATAACCACATGGGGTGTAGGGTGTAGTGCAATCTACAGATTAGTCTAAAGTTTAGTGTTTATCTAGGAAAACATAAATTTTGCCTATAGTTGTCAACTTCGGGTTACAGCAAAAATAATCTTGAAGTTATAAAATTCGATACTTTTTTGGCTTTCAAATGATTTTTACCCTCGAACAGATTAGGTCGTTCGCAGAACTCCATGTGTTTGTAAATCCCATTAGGGTCACATTTTAACTACTATCTATAAAAATAAAACTTTTTCCCACGAAAGATAAACTTGAACCGAGATTATGATTTTACTACTGATTTTGTTTCATTATCTTTCTTTGTATCCCACAATTTATATTAATATAATAATCGGTCTAACGTTCTACGTCTTCCTATCTCCAACCATCTCTGTCAATCCAGGCATTCTCCTCCAAGGCTTTGTCTCTCATTCTCAGTCTACTCCACTTCTTCTCGGTCTGCCGCGTCTTCTCTCCCCCCTGGCTTCCATTCTATGATTTATATCCACCATTCCTTGTGCATGTCCGACCCAAATCAGTTTATCTTTGATATCATCTACTATTTATTTTTGTATCTTACGTTCATAATTTGGTGCGCGGACCAGTGAATCTGTAGATGGAGACTCTGTCTTCATCTGATCAGTTTACGTTCATAATTTCTCTGGTTTGTTATCCTTTCCATTGTTTGCCCGATTTATACTTTGGTCCCATAACTCTCATTTAGTATGAATATTGCCTTCTGTTCTTGTAGATTCCGATCTGGAATTGCTGCGTCTAGGGTCCCCTCCTGCAAGATTTTAATTCTCAAAAATTCTATTCACCTTATTGTTTTATTCCTTCACCGTTATTCAACTTCAGGTCGTTGTTAGGTTGTTCTCCTCCTATGGTTCTATATTCTGTTCGTGAATTTCACTTCCAAACCACATCTATACTTAGATTATTATAATCCTGTCCAATTAATACTTGGGCATTTTGAGTGATTTGGACGATTTGGTGGTGATTTATTGATTTGATGAATCATGATAAAATAACAAATAACATGAAACCAAACAAAATTTAAAATTCGAAAAATCAAAATAATCTCCCCCCACTCCCACCCCAGCTCGACGGCATTTGAGGTGAACATCACATGACTGGTGAAAATCCGTTTTGATTGGCTCTCTCAAACATGCTACAGACGTCGGCGACGGAAAAGATAACAGTGATTTGTCTGACGGAATGAAACGGCACAGCTAACGGGGAATGGTGAGGCCGACGGCGAATATAAACGATCTTGTCGAATCCTATATTTTTATGTTCAGAACTGCAGGCGCAAACGATAACGGAATCGTAACGTCAAGTTCATAAATGGGCGTTTAAGTTCAAATTGTTCTTCAGGAATCAATTCCAGATCATCAATCAGATTCCTGTAGGATCCTGGAACTGATAGCTTTCTCTGACAGCTTGCCCAAAAGGGCATGGGACCATAGTTTGGAAGTTTGGTAAGGACTTTCTAATCCTTCCTGCTGAATGTACTTCAAATCCTACTTTCAGCACTGTGGGAAATAGATCAAATCACAAGATAAAATTGCTGCTTTAGGGACCCCCTGTATAAAATATTGTTATGTAAAAGATAATAGCTCTAGGTATATTTGGCATAATATTTATTTATCATTTACTATTTTCGTGAGAAAACGGTTTTTAAGACATTTGCTTGCATGCTCATCTTTTGATTTTTTACTTAAACGTTACTGTTATGTGTTTCAAGACTTTTTTTTATATTTTATAAAACCTATAAGGTAGTTACGTAATTTTTAATGTCAATCATCACTTTTATTTAAATTTCTTAGCATTTTCAAAACCTGTCAAATTCGCCATTTTCTAACCCCCAGGTACTCATAACTACAGTGGTTAGATAAACCTTTACATACAGTGGCGACAATAGAGGTCTCGCCTCCATTTTGTTCCCAACCTCTTGTTACTTTCAAATATTAATATATAGGATTTAAATGGACATCTATCATAAAAAATTGAAATCGACGTATTTGATGACTATTATTAGGTCCATCAAATATGTTGTTTTCCATGTTTTATGATGGATGTTCACCCAAATCCCATATATATTCATATTTGAAATAGGCAATAGGTGGGAACAAGATGGCTGCGTTTTCAATATAAATACATATATGGGATTTTAGAACCAATCAAAAATAAGACAGCAATTGTCGCCACTGTGGGTAATAGAGTCACTGTACTCATAACCGCGAAATTCGCTCTTCTTTGACATTGCGTCAACAATTTGACGTTTTATGCGTGAATCAAACGTCAAATTGTTGAAGCAATGTCAAAAAAAAACGAATTAATTTCACAGTTATGAGTACTAGGCTTTAAGCTTTAAAAATATACCTACAAATTTTGAGAGTGAGACAAGTCAATATGGTTTAATATAGTCCTTTACTACACATTAAAACTTATTCCACAATTTTAGCACGACCTAATAAGAACAAAAAGTCATATTAGACAGACCCTACTATTATTTGAGAACTCTGAATTTTTTTTTAATTTACTTTGATTTGAATTCTAAGCTTTGTTTCACTCAACCGTTTTGTATTTAAATATGACGTGTTTCACATCAAGATTTTTGAAAATATTTAGGAAGCTCATAAAGATATCTGGGAAAAATTGTCCCATGACCAATCCTGATTGAAATAACTCTCGAAACCACCTCTCATTGAATTCAGAATCAGAATATCATGCAGGTACGTCCCTCTATAAAATATGAATTGCAAAACTATTTTCTGTAGTGTCCAGAAACTTTTGAGGCGATTTTCAGCCTGGAATGATTATTTATCGGTAAATACCGTGGTTATTCTTTTGGTTGACAACTTTGACAGCCAAGTGTGACGTCATAGCCCCCCACCATCCAAGAATCATAACCCAAGGAACTGACCGCTGAAATGATTTGAATATACCAGTGTAGGATTATGTTTATTATTCTTTTTTATTTTTTCATTTCAACAATAGTTTTTTGTTTAGGTACAAAAAAATGGAGCTGAATCTCTCGTTAGTCTCGTTTATCGAACAGATTTTCTTTGGGGATGATCTAAACCTCGATCTAAACATGGTGAATTGCAGTGAGTGAGTGAATGTATACTTCTTTCATTGTGCCAGGCTACAACGCAACTGCAAAATCACAAAACACCAATACAAATTCCAAAAATAATAACAATAACATCAAAAAGCTATAACCAAAAGATTAACCCAAGTCCACAGCTGGGTTATAATCGGTTATAAGTGGTAAATACCAAAAGCAAATCAGCTGATATGTGACGTCACAACTTCCCCTACTTTGGTTAAAACCGCGACGGCGGAAATGCATTGGTTATAACCAAATAATAATCATTCCAGGCTGAAAATCGCCTTTGATGTTTTTTTTTCTAATTTTCTTCAATGGAGCCGTTTTAAGCCTAGTACTCATAACCGTCAAATTCGCTTTTTTTTGACATTGCTTCGACAATTTGACGTTTGATTTTTTTACGAAATTATTCACGAAATATTTCGTGTTTACTATTCTTGGTTTCGCTTTCTACCTGTTTGACACGGCAAATAAAATTTAGCGAATCTTTGCGCTCTTCTGCAGTTTCATAAAGTTGAATTTCCATTTTCATCCCATAAATAAAGTTTTGTTTTTCTTTGGCTTTGTCCAGCTGGTCATCTCCCTCCGAACCTATGTTTTTGGGCGCAACACTTTTTTCACCGGTTGACCCACAAAACTGCAGTTGCCAAAGGGCTATAAAGGTATAAAAGCAAGTAGCAGCACCTGGAACAGAGCAATAATCAATAAAATAATCTATTGTTTGTTTCTCTGATTATCGTTAGTTCAACTATCTCGTGCCTATCTCCGAACATTTCATCAATTTAATTAACACTACAACACTAAACGCTAAACGCGAAAAAAACAAATAATTTTAAACAGTTTATTCCATTGCCTTTGGAAGGTAATCTTTTGTGCGTCAGTGGATTCCGTGGCAGATTTCTGTTGTGATGATAATTTTATTTTTATTTGATCAGCAAATATTTAACTTCAAATAGCGCAAATTATTTTTAAATTGTGTGTCTTGCTCCTCAATTCGCCCATCCGGCAACAGCGCAGGTAAGTCGAGAGTCGGGTTCAAAGGGCGCATTCTTTTATTCAGCAATGGATCCATCTGCTGCCAGCATTATAAGACAGACATTCCTATTTTCTATGAGCTAGACAAAGAAAGGCTGATTACTGATGGATCCACCGCTAAATAAAAGAAAGCGCCCAAACGGTAATCACATGTTTTCTGTCATTTATTACATAGAGACAAAATGACAGGGAAAAAGGTTGACGTTTCTATGTGAGTTTTTTGCATTTTGTCCAAAAATAATCAAATTGTTTAAATAGATAAACGCTGTGTTATCACAAAACTAACAGGCCGAATGTTCAAACGAAATTGATAGTGTAGTAGCGCCAGATCATAGATGACATTTCCTTATCTGCTTTTAGTGCTTTTCCTTAGTGAGTGTATACTGTAACTACTCTAGAGTACCTATGGTATAAATTAATAATAATTATTATTTTTCTCTAAAACACTTGAAAATTTCAAAAATTTTATATTTCAGTCCAATGTCTTTGCTATCGTTTAGTAAAAGCGTGGACAGGGGCTCCTACGAGAAGCTGTCGATAAGAGACAGTGCTCGGTCCTTGAAAAAATATGGGGCGACGAGTAGTAAAAATGCTACGAAGAACGAGTGTTATATCAAGCATTTTGTTGGTGACAGTGATACTTTGCAAGGGGTTGCACTCAAATATAATGTAACTGTGAGTATCCATGAGTTTTCAGAATAATCATCACCATATTGACTTATTAGGAATTAAAACACTGTATTTACAATAACAAGCTAAAAAGAATTAATATGAAAAACCTTAGTGCTATTTCTATTTTTAAAGTTGTCATTTGGCTAATGAAATTTACCACAAAAAAGCTCGACTGATTTATATTCATAGAACCGCAATAATCAATTGGCAATAATAGGCTCAATCGAGGGCTCAGTACTGATTACTTCAGTGCTTTATTTTTCATGTTCTCAAATCAATGAAAATCGGGGAAAAAAAACGCTGGGTGAAGGTAGCTTTAAGTCAAAAAGTCACAATATTGATATGGTTAAAAAGAAAAATTTCTGTAAGATGCTCTTCAGTTAGCAAACTAAAACGACCTTCTCATAGCAGTTTTAGCCCCTGTACTAGCCAGAGACAAAAATAATTTCTAATATGCTCAGGGTTAAATTTAGTTTAGTCTTTTGGCACTTTCGCAGGCCAAAAAAGATTCTTACAGCAATTTCAAGCCCTGAAAATTATGCTTTGAGAGGCAAACTCCTATGCTTAAAATGTCGGTGCACTGTTTGCTTTTCACAAGCGAGGTAGGATCATTGTTACACTTTACGCTACAGGCCAGTTATTCAAAAAAAGGGTGTAAAACGCTTTAGTGCAACAAAAATTAACAAATTTTCTATAAAAATTAGTTGATATATCCTTTATACAGTTGGTTTTGTATCAAGTTAAGTGCGGATATTGACGTTTTTTGCCGTAGTAAGCGAATATTAACATTCACAATTACTTACACATAACCAGTAGATATTAAATCGGTAGATATTATAACCAGTAGATATTGAACGAACTGTAACTCAAACTAACCAAAAGTATCCAAACTAACCCGTCCACGTAATGCGTGCGAGTTCTTGTATGTTGATATTGAATATAAAGATAATTTTTGGGCTCTCGGGAATGGGCTATAAGGCGTTTTCTGAACAAGTTCATTTTTGGTACACATACTATATAGGACGTCAAGAGAAATTTTTCCAAAAAAAAATTGACCTTGACTGTGACCTTCATCCTGACCTTGACCATCAAATTCACGAAAATGGCTGTTTAACATGCTGAAAACTTGTATAGTGTTGAAAGGCATCTGAAGTAACCTATATACCGAGTTTTAGCCTTCAAGGTCATACACATTCAGAGATACGGCAACTCGGCATTCTCAGTTTGGGCTCTCGGGAACAGGGTAGAAGGCGTAGTCCGATTGAGTTCATTTTTGGTATGCATATAAAGGCCGTAAAAGGTAACAGTTCAGTAAAGGTCCTTCAAAAAAAAAAATCATGCTTCTTCATTATAGATAGTTTAGTTTGATCCCAAAATATTGTTTTATGATTGAAAATGTTGGCGCAAATAACTATAAATTTGATTTTATAAATATTGAATGAATCCTCTTCTCGACCTTTGACACAGATCAATATATAATATCTATTCTTATCAGCTTAATATCACAATCGCTCTGTTTAGCAGATAAAAATTTAATAAACGTAAAAAGCATCATGGAACGAATGGAACGAACTTAAAAAACTTAATATAATAACAAATAAAAAAAGTAACACCATATCAAGTAATCTGACAAATTTAGACAAACTTAATAAGTATTTTACGCAAATAACAAATAGCAATGATATACCTAACCAAGAACTCATAAACTTTTATAAAAATAATTTATTGGTCAATGAAACTTTTTTTTTTCAGCCAGTTAGCGAATATTTGATTTCCAAAATTCTCCTTAAACTCAAATCTAAAGCTCTAGGATCGGATAATCTCAATATAACGCTGATTACTTTGTGTTGTCCATTTATAATTCCATTTATAACACACATTATAAATTGCTGCCTAAGTGAATCACACTTTCCCCAATCTTGGAAGTCCGCCAATGTAATTCCTCTCCCCAAAATTAAAAATCCTACCGAGTTTGGTCATTTACGATCAATTTCTATTTTACCCACTCTCTCAAAAATCCTAGAAAAAGTTATGGAACTTCAGATAAATACATTCCTCAACAACAATAACATAATACCCAGCAAACAATCCGGCTTTAGAGCGGGCTATAGCTGCATTAGCTGCTCAACAGCTTTGTCTGATTTAACTGATGATATAGTGCGGGCGCAGGACAACAGCAATGCTAGTGTGCTCATTTTATTAGACTATACAAAAGCATTTGATATGCTTCACCATGAAATTCTTCTGTCGATTTTAAAATACGTAGGCTTTAGTAAGTCGGCGTCTCTACTTGTGTCCTCATTCCTTTCAAAGAGATCTCAAAGAGTTACTCTTGACGGACAATATTCGGAATCTCTTAATGTCTTTGCGGGAGTGCCTCAGGGTAGTATTTTGGGTCCTCTTCTGTATAGTATATTCACCTCTAACTTTATAGCCGGGATGTCAGGGATGCTCAATTATTGCAAGTGGACTTGGATATGTTTCGGACTTGGTGTCAAAGAAACAAACTCCCCTTAAATGTTGAGAAGTGTAAGGTAAGGTTATTACTTTTTCTCGGAAAAAAACACCTTACTTACATAATTAGGTTCTTAATGATTTGGAGATTTTATTTTATTTTATTTTATTTTATTTATTTATTAACGGTAAACCATTTTACAACTTTACAGCTTTAAAGCTGATTCTAACAATTAAACAATTTAACAGATTAACAGAGATTAACAGGGTTGAAACTATTAGAGACTTGGGAGTCTATTTCAACACTAATGTAAGCTTCACAGAGCACATTGAAATAACTGCTAATAAAGCAATGAAATTACTAGGCTTTATGTTCAGGTCACTAAAAGAATTTACTAATATCTACACCCTAAGAAACATTTATTGTGCAATTGTTAGATCAGTTGTAGAATATGCTTGCCCTGTCTGGTCCCCTTATTATGCTGTGCACATCTCCCACTTGGAACGAATCCAAAAAAAGTTTTTAAGATCCATTGCATATCGATTGGGCATCCCAAGTGAATCTATAAATTATAATGAGTTAATGTCTGTCCTAAATCTTGAAAATCTGAACCAGAGGCGACAGTTTTTTGATATGTGTACTTTGTTTAAGATTGTTAATAATTCTATTGATTCTCCAGACTTACTTGCTAGAATTGGCTTACATGTACCATCTAGCAATTTAAGAGGAAACACATTGTTTAACCTTGATTTGCGTAGAACCAATTATGGTTACCATTCACCTTTACTTAGAAGCTGTCGTTCTCTGAATGATATTATTTTGAAGACTGATTTGGATGTTTTTAACATAAGTTTGGATAGATTCAAAAGAATTTTAAAGTCGATCCTAAAATGATCGTTTTTTCTATTTGTATTCAATTTTAAGCGTATTATGTTGTTTATGTTTTGATACCTACTACAAAATATTTGTTTAGGCTTATGTAATATTGTTTTTTTATACTAACTTGTCTGTTGCCTACTTGTTATTCCAAATATTTATTATTGCGTGTACCTACACTTTAAGTCTACCTTTGTAAAAATGGCATGTCCGTAAATAAAGAATTTATTTATTTATTATTTATTTATAAAATCATTAAAATTTTGTCAATACCACTTATACGCAGACGATACGCAAATCTATTTATCTTTCAAACCTTCAGAAGTAGCTGCAGCCAATAAGCTGATCAATGAAGATCTGAAATCGTTGCTTGATGAATCAAATAAACATTTGCTTAAAATAAATCTTAACAAATCGGTAGCTCTCCTGTTTTGTAATGAAAATATTAGAAATGATCTTTTAGGCAATATTGAACTAAATCTAGGACAAGACACGATATCATTTAAAAATTCGGCTAAAAACTTGGGACTTGTCATGGATAGCAAACTCAAATTTAAAGAACACATAACACTTTGCTTAAAAAGAGCATATTCAGTTTTGAGGGGTTTATACTCTCATAGACACTATCTTTGTCAAAGAACTAAAACTTTGCTTTGCGACTCTTTAATTCTCTCGCATTTTAATTTTTGCGATCACCTATATGGGCCTTTTTTGGATTCGATAGATGTTAGGAGAGTCCAAAAGGTTCAGAACTCTTGCATTAGGTTTGCGTGTGGAATAAGACGAAGAGCGAGTTTCACACAAACTGAATGAATTGGGCTGGTTAAGTATGTTTAACAGGCGTAGTCTGCACTCACTATGCTTCTTTTATAAATTATTAAAATTTAAAACTCCACCATACCTACACAATAAAATCAAATATCGAACTGACATTCATAATTTAAACATTCGCAGGAAACAGCTTTTGACAATACCGTCTCACAATAAAGAATCCTTCAAAAAGTCATTCAGCTATACCATTGCCTCACTCATTAACAAATATGAAATAATTGATTTTTCACATCTGTTGGTGTTTTTAAAAAAAAGAATGAAATTAAAACTAATTTAAAATATAATATATTATATTTCCTGCTCTAGATAAATCGCCCTTAATTTCCTGCACATAAATAATTGGGTACATCATGAAATTCCTATCTGCTTTAATATTATTCTCCGCTCTAGTACATATATATATTATTCTCTACCATGTGCCCTCTTTTTCTTTTTCTTTTCTTTCCTTCTTTTCTCTATTTTTCCACCTCCTTCTTCTCTTTCTTCGTCTTACAGTTTAAGTATCAAGTGCGTTACTTGATTTTCATATTCATAGATCTTAGATAACCCTTTCTTTATATTTTATTTTAAGCAATTTTTTGGGGCCTCAACAGCACTCATGCTTGCATGGGATGCTGCAAATATGGCCTATTATTTCCCACATTTATCTTAGTTAACTGTTTGGAATGTAATTTTTCTGGAGATAATAAATATTATTATTATTATTATTATTATTATTATCATGTGGTAGATATTCGAATGAAGAGAAGAGCTAAGTGTTCAAACCATTTTTTGAAAAAAACATTATTGAGTAATGATAAAGCGTATAATATCTACTGAACTTTTGAAATTGGTACACTTT